GCACATGACTCAGGTTATTCCAGAGGCACCTGCATGCCCATGTTTTTTGCAGCCTTATTCAGAATAGCCAAGCTATAGAAACAGCCAAGATGCCCCACTACCAACAAGTGGATTAAGAAAATGTGGTATTTATACACAATGGAATTTTACTCAGCCACAAAGAAGAATGAAATTTTGTCATTTGCGAGTAAATGGATGGAACTAGAGAACATCATCTTAAGTGAAAGTAGCCAGACTTAAAAGGCCAAAAATCACATGTTCTCCCTCATATGTGGACTTTAGACCTAAAACAAATGCAGTAATATTTTTGGACATGGATCACACACTAAGGGGAGAATGCACACAGGAGGAATAGGGAAAGGGATGGAAACCTAAAACTTGAATGTGGTTGATGTGCTCACTGTAGAGGAGTGAATATAGCAATCTAAATTGGCAGAGGCCACTATGGGAAGAGGACTAGGAAGTAGTGAAGAGGTCTGGTGGAGACAAACTAATGTGGTTTGTAATACACATGTGCAAGGAAGCAATGCTAGGAATCTCTCTGTATAGCTATCTTTATCTCAAACTAGCAAAAGCTATGTCATTCTTATTATCTCCCATGTTTTCTCTTCAACAAAGTCAGAGAACAAGGTGGGCGGGGAGGTGGCCCAAACCACGTATATACATGTGAGTAAATGTAAAAATGATAAAATAAAAAAAGAAAAAAAAACTAATTTCCTTAGTTGCATCAGTCACATTTTAAGTTCTCAATAGTTAAACATTTTAAGTGAATATTTCATCACTATATGATATTAAAGAGAATATGCAGATGACCTGCCCATAGTGGCATTTTATTATAACACTATTATCATAATATTTTTACTTTTGATATTTTCAACTTCATTTCTATTTGTTGATTCAAATGAAAAAATCAGTCATTTATATAATATAATTAGGCAGAATTCTCTTTGTCTATTCAAAAGGTCTATTGAATTTAAGTGGTCCATATGATAGCTGAAGTATTTCAACCTTGTCAGTGTTACTTATGCTTTGATGACAAATGTGCCAAAAAATTATCAACCAGTGATTATTTCTTTTACAGTAATACATACTTACTTTATGACCAACTTTGAATGGGTTGAAATAAGGCCTATGTTATATGACCTTTATCGGCATAAAACTTTTAAAAAATTGAATGGCCTCCCATCTTAGGATGTCAAAATAAAGGGTGAGGAGGACATTGGATTTACTTACAAGGACACTACTGTTTGTGTGACAGAAACACTTATCTAATATGATCAATATTTGAATTTGGACAGATAATTGTACTTCAGTTATCTCTCAATATAACTGTAAAAGTGTAAAAAGTAGACAAAATTGTTTTAAAAAAATAAAATAGGACTTTGGTTCCAAGAAATAACCCTAATTAAGAACTCCACAGATGTATTTAATAACATACTAGATACAGACACAAAGAGAACTGAAACAACTGAAAAATAGGTCAGGAGATAAAATCCAGACTCTGAAGCATGGAAACAAAAAATAATTAAGAAAAAGCATAGTAAGACATAAATGGGACAAGTTGAAAATAACCGATAGACTCAATAGTGGTTCTCAGAAATAGAGGATAGGAAGATTTGAATACATATGCATATATATATAAATTTACATTCATACATATATACATAGAGACATAATGGCCCAAAGTGCTCCAAAAAGTATAAAATTAAAATCCAAATTCAGTAAGTTCTGAAAGCACCAAGCAATATAAATGCAAAGGAAATTATAGCTATACACATGATAGTGAAAACAAAAGTAAGTGGAATAATTTGTATGTATATTATTAACTCTGAAAATGGGTGAAAGGGTCTCCACACAGTGGTAACAGACAAATATGGGCAGTTAAAAGTGCCAAACCATGAGGGAAAGCCTAATAAATGAGATGATTTATTTACTTTTTTTAAAAGTTGGTTTTTTTTAACCATTGCCTTGTGTGGTGGTACAGCATTGTAATCCCAGCTACCCAGGAGGTGGAAATCAAGAGGACTGTAGATCCAGGTCAGCCCAACAAAGTTGGTGAGATCTCATCTCAACCAACAAGCCTGGTGTGCACTTGTAATACCATCTATGCAGACACATAGGTATTTGAGGCTGGCCTCTGGCAAAAACTCAAGACCCTATCCAAAAACTGACTAAAGCAAAAAAAGGCAATGGGTGTGGCTCAAGTGGTAGAGCGCCTACCAGCAAGTACAAGGCCTTGAATTCAAACTCCAGTACGACCCCCCAAAAAAGTTGTTACTACAAATTTAACTCAAATTCAGTCTTGACTTATAGAAAATATTATTTTATAATAAATCTATTAATTTCTGTAAAGATTTAAAATAAATTATTTTATTTAGTTAAACATTGCAAATTGCATTTACAACTTTACCATGTTCTATTATTATCTCAACTAGCAAAAACCCTCATTCCTTCTTTTATTGCTTATACTCTCTCTTCAACAAAATTAGAGATAAGGGCAAAATAGTTTCTGCTGGGTATTGAGGGGGTGGGAGGGAGAGGGAGGGGGCAGGGTGGGTGGTAAGGGAGGGGGTGGGGGCAGGAGGGAGAAATGACCCAAGGATTGTATGCACATATGAATAAAAACTTTAAAAAAAGTATTTTAGAAACTAAAAATTATAGCAAAAAATCATATTTAGATCATCACAAAAAATCAAACTTGTGTCTTTGTAGAAATTTAATTTTCCTATATGTACTGTATTTACAAATCAAAATTTTCATGTGCCTTTTAACTTAATCAACAGAACTAAAATCAAGTATGAAGCTGTTCATTTAAAAGCCTTTTTTTGTTGGGTTGTGTACCGTGCTAAGTTCTTTCGTATGTTATAAAATGCCACATACAGTTCATTAGTCTGTTTTTGCTGCTAAAACAAAAATATCATAGTCTGGTGGCTTATAAACACCAGGAATGTATTTCTTACAGCTCTAGAACCTGAGATTTCTGGCATCTGGCATGGCCCACATCCTGTGTTACGGTTGACCTTTTTTTTTTTTTTTTCCCCTATGTAGTCTCATATATTAAACATGGCAGGTATCTCGGTGGTGACTTTTGTAAGCGCACTCCTCTCAGGCATGAGAGCTCTGCTCACATGACCTTAATCACCTCTCAAAGGCTGCCCTTCCAAATACCATCATATAGGTTATTAGATGTCAACATATGAAGTTTGAGGATACAGAACATTCATCTATGACATACAGACAGATATTTTTTAAAAAAATAACATAAAAATGCTAACACTTCACAATTATTCTAATTAATTTTATACTTAAAGTTGGCCACTGAATTATCTAGCCTTCCTCAATGAAACAGAACCAATCTGATGAATGGATAAACGATAGACAGATGATTGATGTAGGAGATAGATAATAGATGAGATAGATAAAGGATATGTAGGTAGATAGATAGATAGCTGGCTAGCTATGGACAACGACAGGGTATGTGTTAGAGGGATTGGCTCACGTGATGACGGAGGCTGGGAAGTCCCACGATAAACCATTTGCAAACTAGAAAACCAGAGAGGCCAGCAGCATGGTCATGGCCTCAGAACCACAGAGGCCAGCGGTCTAACTCTTCACCTGAGATTGGAGGCCTGAGAACCTGATGGGCTGCTGTGCAGATCCTATAGTCCAAAGGCAAGAGAAGCTGGTTTGACACCTGAAATTAATCATCCCAGGTAGTCAGATGATCATTTTGCCATCCAACTATTTTTATAAGTCTTTTTAGCTGATTGAGTTTGCATACTAATCAGAGATTATGTGCATTGTAAGAATTGAGCTGTGGACCACTAGGATAAATTTGCTCACAATTTATATGATCATTCCCAATTTTGCAAAATCTCTGTGTTGACAGGGACCATAAATGGGTTGATTTCATAGCTCAAATTCCCTGATGCTCCCTTACTTGATTTTCTTGTAACTTCATCCAGCTTTATTACTTGATTAAGGTGGATGAATTTCTAACACCCAAAAACAGGTGACTTCATCACTTAATGGGATTCAAGCCATCTATCCCCTGCTGGAGTCTGTTATGAATTCACCTGGATATTCATGCTTTTACAGAGCCAAATGCAAAGAGATGTGGAAGGCATTTCATCCTATGTGAAAGACATATGTCCCCTGTCCTGCTCTGCTGGACTGTCAGAGTTCTCAACTCAACATAAAAAACAAGCTCTTTTTTTTAGGCGAGGCTTGGAAAGTGGCTGCTATTATAGTTTTTTCCATTGGAATGCTGTCACTGTAGCAACATGCCAGATTCACCCTTTCTTGGCTCATGGCCTTGTACGAGAAAACTGGAGCCTCAAAAATGTGTTCCTTCCACCCTCTCATGGCAGCTTCATGTATGTCAGAGAAATTTAGTTATACGTGAATTAAGTTTTACTAAATAATAACTGGAAAAAATCAAGTTTATGACATCTATATACATAGAATTTAATTTTATCTTCACAGCAAACGTATCTAAAATTTATGCCATAACAAATGTCTTTATTGTGCTATGAAATCCTAGCTATGGTAATGATGATTTGGGATCATATCAACAAATAACTTGGGTAGACATTATGAATATCAACAGTAGTAAAGTTATGTGCTAAAGTTAATTAAATTTCTGACTCAGCCCTATTTTACCAGTACATACTCTGATAATTAATTAAGTCAATTCTAAGTTTCAAATTCCTGTGTTTTGATCTTTAACATCCAGGTGACTACCATAGCTTTAAAATAAAGTCTTCCAGAAAAATATTACCCCAATACATTGACTTATATAGAATATTTATTCAGTAGTATATAAAGCAATTTAGAGTTTTCACATGAAATTTAAAAATTACTCATTGTAAAAGAATGAGAATGACAAAATGAGCAAAATCAGAGCTTTCTCTTACTGACAAAACTACAGTCATTGATCAGTAAACTTTAAAGAAGAGATTACAATAATCAAAGTTTCGTGGGTTTTTTTTCTCCATTAGGCATTATGTACAGTCCATTATTAAGAAAGGGATGCCTCCAGGGTCCAGTTTACCTTCCCTTGCTGAAAATGATGAAACTGCAAGTCTTAGCCAACCAGAATTGAATCAAGTGACAGGAGCTGTATCTCAGGTATTAGCCGAACCCTTGGTTATAGAAGATGGTTTTTGTAAATTGTGATATATATTGTATATGCAAAAGAACGCTTAACATTCATCTGAAAAGCATAAAGAATACTATTAAAGTGAATAGTTTATGTATCCTGACGGGTTAGAAAATGAAATACTTATGTGTTATGAAAGCCCCTATGTGTCTCTTCTGGGTCTTATTGATTATCTTCGATTCAGACATTGTTTTAATCAAATTCCATATTTTTATAATTTTGCCAGTTAAGTATGTGTTTATTGTATCATATTTATAAATGATATATAGCTGTATCTACTATTCTGTGATTTCTCTCACTTAATATTTGTGAAACTTGGATATTTTGTGCTTATTCATTGGCTGATGGGGTTTGTTGTATAACAATTGTTACTGTTTCTAAAAATCCATCACCGTGCTAATGGCTACACTCATCACTTCTTGTTTTTTGCTATTGCAAGGAATGGGACTATGCTGATGATGATAGTGATAATGAGGATGGCTTTGCAGAGCTGGGAATTGAACCCAGGGCCTCAATGATCATCCTCGAATATCTCCTACATAATGTTTTATGTACACTGGCTCCCCTTGACATTTATGTAAAACCTTAATACTCACCTCTGTGTATTAGTTGAGAATCATCAATGGAGAACAGTCGAAAGCAAGACAGCTGTCTTAGTTATCATTGTATAAGCACACAACTTCACTATTTGATAGTTGAGAGACTGCTAAGCATAGTTGTCAGATAACTGACCAGCTATAGATCACAGGACTATTTATAGACAAGACAATATAACAACACAAAACATAACAATGGTCCTAATAACTGCTGTACTTTCAAAGTAGTGAGCAGCACACACGATCTTTTAAAACCCTTGTGGCAACTTTAATATAATATAAAATATTGCCATTTGTTTTTTAGATATGGTCAAAGTTGTTGCTATTAAAATTGTGGCCAGTTGTATTTCAACAATGAATTGATAATCAAAGAAAATTCCAGATTCCAGCTACAGATACAGTTGTTTTAAACATCCATGGTGATGGATTTTTTTGAAATCTAACTATGGACCCAACTGGACACAAGATTAGGAAAACTTGCTCTAGGATGTGAACCTGGAAATATAATTGTTTGAAGCTTTTTCAGCTTCACAATAAAATGCCAATTTTTCACATAAATGGATCAATAGGACAGGAGTGGTCCTGTCAGCACTGGAAGAGAGTTTTCTTTATTTCATGTGCTGGCCAACATATAATACTGTATGATGTTGATTAGTATAGGTACTAGGTGTTAAAGGGCACTTTATTTTTAAAGCAGGTAATATATTCACATTTTCAACACTAAAAAAATCTTCTTTCCTCTCATGTGCCTCTCCATTCCATTTCACCTCTCAATCTCCCATAGGAAGCTTTCAGAGTTTCTCTGTGTAATTGCAAAGAAGCACACACACACAATATTACATACTTCCTCTTTTTATTCAAAATTAAATTTTAAAAATCATTTAATATAAGTTGGTGATAATTTTATCTATACCCAAAGGGTATCTTCATTCTTTGTTGCATAATATTTCATTACGTGAATGAACCATACTTTATTTCTACCGATCTCTGTAGGTGGACTTGGGTTGATTCCTACCCTTTGCTACTACAAATAATGCTCTTATCAGTGAATCTTACATGGAAAGTAGGATTTTTTTGGGTCAACAGATAAAAGCCTGTTGAAAAATGTGTATAGTTATTTTCACTGCATCCCATAGGATTGGCACCATTTCACATTCACACCCAAAATGTGTGAGTGTTTCTTTACAGCCCCACACAGGGCATGACTTTCATTTTTAATTTTTCCCAACCAGATTGGTAAGAAAAAGCAGTTCATTATATTTTAAATTTCCACTTTCCTGATTCTTAATGTGACCGAATAGCTTTTTATATGTTTGCACTATTTTTTTGTGTCTCTTTGCAGTTACTGCTTTTGTCTTTTGTCTAATTTTTCTTTGGGTTGTATATTTTGTTTTATCAATTCATAGATGTTCTCTGTGAAAATTAAGCTAACTAAAGTATGAATTATCCCATATACTTAACATTTGTTATGAAAACACTTAAAATCTACCCTTTAAGTAACTTTCAATAATATAATACACTATTACTAGCTCTAGTCACCAGGTGGCACATTAGATTTCCTGCACTTCTTACCAAATCCTAAAAAAAATCTTTAAAACCCTTCTAACAGTCAAACATCAGGTATCCTATCATCACTAGTAATTTTCTTGGCTACATCACATTCAAGACTCCTGTGTTCCGTTTCACTGTAAACAGATACCTTGCATTGGGACGTCCTTTTACCTCGTTTCTCTCATGGACTTCCTATTTTGGAAACAATGTCTTCTTTTTTAGTTTATGCTTTAATTTTTGTGTAGCTTGTCTTCCAATATTTCCTACAAAAAGATGAATGGGAAGTAAACATTGTGAGAACACTTGAAGATTCCTATATTTCTTTCTCTCAATGGACTTCTATTTGGGCAGAATATAGAATCCCAGTTTGGAAGTTATTTTCTTCAGAAATTTGAAGATCTTCTTTAATTCCTTTAGGCATTGCTCTCTCAAGAATATGGATAACCTTCTGCCTTCTAGACAGTTTTAGGATCATCTTCTCATCTGGGCATAGTAAAATTCAATGATGACTGGCATGAACCCCTATCTCTTTTTCCATGAACTCTGCTGGGTATTTGAGTCTCTTCCATCTGGAGCATCATTCTTCAGTACTGGAGAATTTTCTTATATTATTTCCTTGAAATCTCCCTCTGTTTTTAAATTTTTTTATTCATTTATTCACATGTGCATACATTGTTTGGGTCATTTCTTCACCCTGTTTCCCGCCCCTCCCTCTCCCCCCACTCCACCTCACTTCCAGCTAGAACGGTGTTCTGCTCTTATCTCTAATTTTGTTGAAGAAAAGACATAAGCAATAACAAGAAAGACAAACATTTTTGCTAGTTGAGATAAGGATAGCTGTACAGAGATATTCCTAGCATTGTTTCCATGCACAAGTGTGTTACAACCCAAGTTC